CGTGCACCCTGGCCGTGTGCCAAGCCTGAGGATCGAACTTAATGAAACGTTGCGTTTTGAGCCGCACGGCCAAGTGGGTGAGTCGCGCGGCCGTGCACCCTGGCCGTGCGAGTCGAGGAATCCTGGTTTTAGAGCCTATTCCGAGCCAAAAGTGCGAGAATCGAGTTTTCAGAGCAAAAACAGAGCCCTAGAGAGAGAAAGTGCGAAGAACACATCCTAGAAGCTATCTCGGAGTTGGGTTTCGTCGAATCGAGCTTGGAGATCGTCATAGGAGTGGAAATCATCATCCCGGAGCAGATTTTCCTCATCATTATGAGTATGACTACTCCGATTACTGTTTTCTCTTCTCTCTCTATGGAGTAGAACCCTTCTCTCACTTGGGTATGAAGAACCCTAGTTCCTGGTGTTAGGGATTTGATTGTAATGACTTGGGATGATATTACTGTTTGATTTTAATCGAATGATGCATGTTTATTGAATTGATTTGAGTCTGATCAGCTTTTCTCGATTTCTGCTGCAACCTGAGATAGATAGAATCTGATTAGGTTGTTAGAGTCTCTTCATTCGATAGTAGGAGATTGGCTATACGAGAGTTAGCCATTTTACTGCTTTGTACTGGAATTCAATTCCAGTAGTGGAGTTCTGTGCTTACTGCTTCAGCTTTCTATCCCGGTGAAGACTAGTCGTCTGCCGGGTAGCTAGACTGAGAGGGCTTGGTCAGCTTAAGAGATTCCAAGCTACTGCCGGAGCTTCCGCAGTCTAATCAACAGTAAATCAACCCAGGGGAATTACAATTGAACCTAACTAAGGGGCTAGGGGGACTCAATCCCGAGTGACTCTTTCCTGACTTTGAAAACCGAACAATTTACTGCTTTCTTACTGCTTTAGCTTTAACAACAATCACTCGAATTAGTTTGCTAGATAATAGAGAATCACGGAGTAAGCAGTAGATCTAGACCCCGGGTTGATAATATAACTTGCCTGTTACTGCATTCCTGGACTGCGATTACACTTGGTCGCAGTTTGGTGTTGTGTTTTGGCGTGTCAGCGGCCATCTCTTGTTATGCCCTTAATGGCACTACCGCTCCCGAGACCATGCGGTTCTGCGGCACGATCGACGGCTGCACAGCTCTCACCCTCGTTGATAGTGGGTCCTCTCTCAATTTCATCAGCGAAGAGTTCGCGGCCACCTTGCCAAGGAAACCATCTATTATCAGGCCATTCAACGTCAAGGCAGCCAACGGCCACACCCTACAGTGCACGCGTCAGCTCCAAGACGTACTCCTTGATATTCAAGGTTTGCAAATCACCTTGAATGTCTTTGTGTTCCCGATTCGCGGCTTGGATGTTGTGTAGGGGATTCTGTGGTTGAAGAGTCTCGGCCCGGTGACTAGTGACTGGGATCGTCTTACAATGAAGTTTCGGTGGAAGGAAAAAGAGTGGATACTGCACGGCCTTCTGACCGTCACTGGTCCGATCACGGCCGCGGGGCTGTGGCAGGATGACGAAGTGGTTTTCGCGGCTTTATGCGTCCATTGGGAATAGCGCAGCCTGCGGGTGAGTTGGCCCCAGACATCCAAGCTATCGTGACGTCCTGCGCAGACATATTTGAGAAGCCGATGGCGTTACCCCTCGGCGTGAGATCGACCATCGGATTCCATTGAAGGACGACACCGAGGCTGTGAATGTGCGTCCATACCGCTATGCCCATTTTTAGAAAGCAGAGATCGAGAAGCAAGTGGGAGAGATGGGACGTGGTTCGGCCTAGTACCAGCCCGTTCTCTTCGCCCGTGCTGCTGGTGCGAAAGAAAGATGGGACGTGGCGGTTCTGTATCGACTATCGAGCCTTGAACGAGGCCACCGTTAAGGATCGATTCCTGATTCCGACGGTGGAAGATATGTTGGATGAGCTACATGGTTCGATGTACTTCACGAAGCTGGATCTGAGGGCTGGTTATCATCATATCCGCATGGACGAGGCAGACGTGCATAAGACTGCTTTCAGAACCCACAACGGCCATTACGAGTATTTGGTGATGCCTTTCTGGCTCTGTAATGCCCCTTCCACTTTTCAAGCAGCCATGAACGCCATCTTTCGACATGTCTCGCGGAAGCACGTTCTGGTTTTCTTTCACGACATATTGATCTACAGTAAGATTTGGTCGGAGCATTTGACTCATCTCTGGGGGGTGTTCGACATTCTCCGACAAGAAGGCTACTTCGTAAGAGCTTCCAAGTGAGCCTTCGGGGTACAAGAGGTAGAGTACCCGGGTCATGTCATCTCGCATGAAAGAGTGAAGGTTGATCCAGCCAAAATCTGGGCTATGCTGGATTGACCACCACCGTCGAATGTCTCTGAATTGAGAGGATTTTTGGGATTGACAGGCTACTACAGGAAGTTCGTGCAACATTATGGCGCGATTGCTCGACCGTTGACAAACCTGTTACGGAAAGGAGCCTTTGCATGGACAGCAGAGGCCGATGCGGCATTCCTGGCATTACAGGCCGCCATGACATCTACACCTACCCTTGCTATGCCTGACTTCACTATTCCATTTGTGATCGAGGCTGACGAGTCCGGACGGGTTATAGGGGCCGTCTTATCACAAAACCGACACCATATTGCTTATATGAGCCACACGCTATCACCCACAAAGGAAGCCTGGTCTACGTACCATAAAGAGATGCTAGCAGTTGTCTTGGTGGTGCAAACATAGAGGCTGTACTTACTCGGTCAAAAGTTCCACGTTTATACAGACCACCAGAGCTTGAAGCATATGCTTGATCAGAGGATATCGACACCCGACCAGCATAAGTGGTTCTCCAAGCTGCTCGGGTACGACTATGAGATCCACTATAAGCCAGGATCGACGAATTTGGCTGCCGATGGTCTTTCTCGGAGTTGTGGTGGGGCGCTCTTGTCTATAGTCTCGCGACAAGTGGTCGGTTTCTGTGACGAGATTAGGGAAGCTGTTTTACAGAACCAGTATCTCCAGGAATGCAAAGAGGTGGCCATGTCGCAACAACCGGGGGGTACGCTTTCCGTCACGGTTTGGTGATTTTCAAGGGATGGGTAATTCTTCCACCCCATTCCTCTTTGATCACGGCGGTTTTGCAGGAGTTCCACAACTCCCCGGAAGGAGAACATTCTAGTGCGGAAAGGACACTGTTGGGCATGCGGGGTCATTTTTACTGGCCTCAAATGGTGGATGTGATACGAGACTACGTGGCCTCGTGTGACACGTGTCAACGCGTCAAGGTTTCATCACTGCGACCAGCTGGGTTGTTACAACCTATACCGATTCCGGAGCGCGTATGGGAAGACGTGAGCATGGATTTTACTGTTGGCTTACCGCCTTCCGGAGGAAAGTCAGCCTTGTTGTTCGTGGTTGATCGGCTGACTAAATATGCTCACTTCATGGCATTGTCACATCCATACACGGCCAAGACGGTGGTCGAGCTATTCGTACAGGGGGTAGTGAAACATCATGGGGTTCCAGCCACCATTGTCTGTGACAGGGATGCAGTTTTCTTGGGGCACTTTTGGCAGGAGTTGTTTGGCATGACCAAGACGAAGATCCACATGAGTTCGACTTATCATCCAGAGACGGACGGTCAAACTGAGATTCTTAATAAGTGCCTTGAGCAATACCTTCGGTGTTTTTACCATCAACAACCACGGAAGTGGCTGGCTATGCTACCTTGGGCCGAGTTATGGTACAACGCTACTCATCATCGGACCATCGGAACAACGCCATTCCAGGCTCTTTACGGGCGGTAACCCCCGACGATTGTGAGGCACCAGCTGGGTAAGAGTCCCGTCGAAGCGGTAGATCAATGGCTAGCCGCACGGGATACGACATTGGAGCAATTGAAGTCCATGTTAGCAACCGCCAACAATCTCACCAAGCAAATGGTGGATGCGGGCTGTCGAGACATTGAGTTCAAGGAGGGAGATTGGGTGCTGCTGCGTTTGCATCCGTATCGGCATTCGTCAGTGTTTCGATGAGCTTACCAGAAATTAGCTGCCCGCTACTTCGGTCCTTACCGGGTATTGGGTCGCATGGGGAAGTCACATACAAATTGGAGTTGGCTGCAGGAGCAAAAATTCACCCAACCTTTCATGTTTCATTGCTGAAACAGTATAGGGGCACGGTGACAGCTGCTGAACCGTCGAGTCCACCGGTCAATGGCGACGACGAGTTATAGCCGCAGGTGCCACGAGTCTTCATGTTTTATTGGATTCGGCTTGGGCGGAAGATGGTGGAGGAGTCTTTGGTGCAGTGGCAGCACCTGCCGGAAGAAGAAGCTTCGTGGGAACCGGCAGACGAGCTGCGACGACAATTTCCGGACTTGGACCTTGAGGACAAGGTCAATCTTCAAGAGGAGGAGATTGTTGGAGGAACCAGGAGGTCATTCGGGTCTCTAAACCCAACCCAAAGTACCAACAGACTTGAGGGTTTCATATTTAAAAGCAGTTGTAATTTTTAGAGATGTTATGTGAAAATTAATAATCAAACTCCCTAAAACCCTATTCCTCCCAATCCCTTCTGCGTTCCCTACCTTCCGTCGACTCTCTTCTTCTCAACCCTTCTATCCCATCAATCTTCTTTGCACCTCCCTATTACCTACAACACAGATCTTCCATTGGAGCGTCGGCGAGCAATGGCGGAAGCAGAATCGGGTCTGAACAAGCTCAGAACATCCTACACCTCAGAGACCTGCTTGAATTTCACCTCTTCCTCTTTCTTGTTCACCATATTCTTATCCGGATTAGAGTTTCAGGTGAGATCACGCTCCAAAATTTTGAAATCGCGCTCTAGCAAAAAGAAGTTCGCGAATTTCTATCGAACTCCCAAGAAATTGCGTTTTGGCGCTCTAGAGCGGGAACGTGGAGGGTGAACTGGCGAATTAGGTTACCTAAGTCATGCCCTACCATCTTTTATGTAGGGAAATGAAAAAGAAACAAAGATCAAAGAAGCATGATCCAGAGTAGACACTCAAAAATCAAAAGAAAAAAATCTTCTGGAGTCAGGGCAACTTGCCCAGTCTGCATCACTGAAACGTGACAGCTCAAGCTTTGAGTCTGATTTAAAAATCAAATCTTGTCCAGGTATCTGTTTGAGATACCTGATGACCTTATATGTTGCTTGAAGATTTGCAACACAAGGTGCCAGTGGCGGTGCCAGTATTTTATTTAAGGGGATGCCATAAAAATATTATAAATGCGATCTCGTGTTTTATATTGTAAAATTATTCTATAACATATGAGTCGGTCAAATTATCAAGATTTCACACTTAATATATCCCACCGAATAACCATTCACTACTTTAGTTCACTAGATACGAAGGCTGATCAATCGTTTCATAGCATAAAATGTTATCAACTTGTGCATTGACATATTTTAGTAGCAAATCAAATCTATTTTCACAAGCAAATACATTGATAGAAACTAATTTTCATGTATAATTTAGTAGATGAAATTAATTTATTAGTTTGTTGTGATTTTAACGGTAGAAGATTTTACGTTTGACATTGAAATTTAGGATTTAAATATAATAATTAACTAACTAATACTATTAATATTTTGTTCTTTCTCCAAATCTAAGGAGGTGCCATGTCACCCCTTATTACACTCTAGCTACTCCCCTGATCACTTCAGTACTCGAATACCATATTTGTATTAATATAAGCATTAAGTTAAGATTTACTCGCAACTCAATCACGGGCGTAACAGGGCTCTTGTCGTTCTTCCACCTCACTCCATCCCCTTTTAAGAGTTCACATACACCATACACTTTCAGTATATGGAGCTCATACGTTTGTGTAAATAAATGATAATTGTATAACCTAATAAGAGTATATAACCTTAATGAACCCAATTAATTTTATAATTAGAAATCCAATTAACTTCTCCCCATACCCACGTTAACTCCTTTCCTCCCCTCTTTCTCCACTTTAAATATAATCAAAGGTTGGTCATGGTTCCCTTTCTCTTTTCCCATCATATATCCATAATTAAGAGGTACCGCGTGCCTAGTAATGATTCACCACACCCACCTTAACTATGCAAGCATTCACATGCACGAACCAGAAAATGTTTTAAGGGAGTTGAGTGCTCAATATAGCCGCCACTTGTGTGGCCTTGCATTAACATACTCGTTTCTTCTAATCGTCACTTATATAGTTATTATCACAAAATGATAACATGGATAATTTAGCATGCAAACCATTGTCTAACCTAAATACCTTCCCCTTCGTATTATTACCACTCGACCAGCCAATACCATCAATCAAGTTAGGGGAAATACCTTGTATAATTAATTAATTCGTGAGTCGCTTACTAATCCACACCATGCAACGACTCCCCTAACATCAGTAGTGAAGAGAAATAATAGAGAGTGATGATTTCGCAGGTGTTTTAGATGGAAAAAGAGGGAATGGGTTAGGATGATTATTTGTTTTTTGTTATCACGGTGGCAACCTCTTTATATATCATTAGATTTCGCATTTTTCCTTCTTTTTTAATTTTACGGTCAAAATTCTTTTAGGGTAATTATGGAAATGAAAAAGTGACCACAACCGATTATTCTATATAATCTACCCAAACCCTAGTTCTACCCTCTTTCCAAACTCTTTATATACCATTAGATTTCACATTTTTTCTTCTTTTTTAATTTTACGGTCAAAATTCTTTTAGGGTAATTATGGAAATGAAAAAGTGGCCACACCCGATTATTCTATATAATCTACCCAAACCCTAGTTCTACCCTCTTTCCAGCCAAACCCGCCGCAGTCGCCTCCACCACTCCGTCACACTAATCCCGCAGGTCGCCTACACCAGCCCCTCCCCTCGGCCACCCCCGACGACCACCCTCGACGACGACGAAGCCTACAGCCGGCCACCAGCGGCGGATCCAGGATACAATAGAGCACTAGGCCGCAATTGAATAGAAAATTCAACACGGTAAACAGAAATATACAATAACAATAGTTTTCATTACAATGTCAATTGTACACGACAGTCTTTCAATTGAGCAAATTCATCAATAATGGAGTCTTCATCCATACCAATAGCATACTCTCTCTCAAAGAATATAGTCAAGCAATCAGCAAGAAATTCATCGTTCATTTTGTTGCGCAAATCAGTCTTCACATGTTTCATTGCTGAAAAGGATCTCTCTGTAGTAGTCGTTGAAACAGGCAACATCAACACTAGACGAATCAAGCGACAAATCATTTTGAATTGAGGCTCCATCTCTGTTTTCACCAGCTTCTCTAGTAGTTTTGTAAGGGAAGAAACCTCATATTCCTTATCACGAATCACATGAGAGGCAAAAAATCCAAGCTCATTATGCAAAGAATTCATCTCATAGCCTTTGAAGTCTTGAGGATAAAACTCTTCAGCAAGTTTGTATATCTTTCTTCATCAAAAGAACGGAAAGAACCTTTAGGATCTAGTGCACCGACCAACTGAAGTAATCTAACTGATGACTCATTAAATCTTGAATTCAATGTTCCCAACTGAAAATCTATGCATTGATTAAAGTACTCAAAATGGTAGTGGTGCTCAATAGTTGTTTGCTTCTCACCACGTCCAAGTGTAGCATTCATATTAGGTACTTCTATGCCATGTTTTGAGTAAAAAGATTTCACCTCTTGGAGTAGCTTGTCCCACCCTTCATCTTGTAGTTGTTGAAGTTTAACTTTTGCTATGGAAACAAATCCAACTGCAGCTACAATGTCCATAGATTCTTGTTGAAATGCTTGACAAAGAAAATACGTGATCTCCATAATCCCTTTCATCAAGTGCAGATGAATACAAACAAAAAAGTGTTGATATTTTTTGAAGCACCTCTGGCATGAGCTCGATGTATTCCTTCTTTAGAACGGCTAAGATCCTCAAGCACTACTGATGACTTGATATATACACATATTTTGTCCACCATTCTTATATCGTTTGAGCCTCATTTCTCGTATCTTAGGCCAATTTCATGCTAGATTGTTCTTGTTTGTGATATTTCAGATCCTAGTACGTAAATGGAGATTTGGGAACGAGTTCGGGGTCGATTAGACGAAAGTTAGATATTTGGCGAGAAGCTGAGGAAATCACACGACCAGACCTAGCAGCAACATGGCCGTGTGGCGTGGCCGTGTGGAATTCCATTACGCGGGCAAGACCACACTGGCGTGTACTGAGTCCCGTGAGGCCATGTGGAAATTCCAGGGATGTCACACGGGCAAGCCAGTTTTCTACACGGTCGTGCAGCTCTGGCCGTGTAGCATTCGTGAGACCACTTAAGTGAAACGCGGCGTTTTCACCTCCACACGGGCAGTTGGGATTTCCACACCGCCGTGTGGTCGGGAAATTCTAGATTTTAACCCAATTTTGAGCCTAAGGAGAGAAAAATTGAGTTTTAGAGCAAAAAACAGAGCTTTAGAGAGAGAAAGTGCAAAGAACAAACCCCTGGAGCTATTTGGAGTGGATTTCTCACCATTGAAGCCCAGATTGCATCCCCGGGAGTGAAGATCGACATCCCAGAGCAGATTATCCTCATATTTATGAGTATGACTACCCTGATTTATGTTTTCCTCTCTCTCTCTATGGAGTAGAACCTTCTCTCACTTGGGTATGAAGAACCCTAGTTCCATGTGTTAGGAATCTTGATTGTAATGACTTGAGATTGATATACTGATTGGTTATAATCGATTGATGCATGATTCATTGAGTCAATTGAAGTTTTATCTTCTTTTCTTGATTTCTATTGCAACCTGAGATAGATCGAATCTGATTAGGTTGTTAGAGCTTCATCAATCGGTAGTGGTAGATTGGTTATACGAGAGTTAATCGATTTACTGCTTTGTACTGGAATCTAATTCTAGTAGTGGACTTCTGCGTTTATTGCCTCAGCAGTCTATCCCAGTGAAGGTTAGTCGCCTGCTGGTTAGCTTGCCTGAGAGGGCTTGGTCATCTTAAGAGATTCCAAGCTACTGTCGGATCTTTCGCAGTTTAATCAACAGTTAATCAACCCAGGGTAATTACAACCTTGACCTAACTAAGGAGCTAGGGGGACTCATTCACAGGTTGCTTTTGCTGATTGCGTGCAGGTAGTGCATGACCCGTAGCCAGTCGGGAGATCTACTGCCATTGGACAAGGAAATTGAACGAACCTGTCGTAACCTCAAGCGGACTCTAAAGGCACGAATGGCTGCGGAGGAAGCTGTGGAGCAACTGCACATCACCGAGGAGGAAGAAATGGGTGAACCATAGAACAATGATGTGGTCATTCCCGAGGAGCAAACCATGGGCTATTACTGGACCGCCCGCGCCGCAGACATGAGATCCCCCATCCAACACCCTCAAGTTGTTGCCAACAACTTTGAGGTGAGTAGCTCTGTTATCACCATGTTGCACGGCTCGGTGGTATTCCGTGGCAAGGAGGGGGATTGCTCACGATCACATCTGCGATGATTTCATGAGCTCATCGATGGGATCAAGATAAATGGGGTCCCAGCCGATGCCATCCAGCTGAGGTACTTCCCATTCACTCTGGAGGGGCAAGCCAAAGAGTGGCTGGACACTAGACCTCCCGGATCAATCACCACGTTCGCCAACCGGGCGGACAAGTTCCTCACTTGCTACCATCCTCCGTCGAAGACGGCGGACCTACAGAAGCAGATAACCCATTTGGCACAAGAGGAAGATGAGACCATCCGGGACGCATGGGAGAGATACACCAGTCTCTTCCTGAGGTGTCCCAATCATGTTTTCAATGATGCTTTCAAGGTGGGCACCTTCTACCACGCCCTCTTTCCAGAAGACAAGCAGCTGAATGACTCGGTTTGTGGCGGAAACATGCTGACCAAGACGCCGCCGCAGTTGAATCAACTCTTTGAGGAGATGGCAGAGAAAGGGTATGATTGGGGTACTTCTAGGAGGTCGAGGCGAGCACCAGGCCGGGGTGTATATGTTGTGGGCACCCCCTCTTATGATTTAGTGCAGGTTGTGTCTAAAATGGTCTCAGCCATCGATCGGAATAAGATGGTTTCGGGGACAGGGCAGCAGCCGGCAATGCGTTGCTAGTGGTGCGAGAGCGCCCATCATACTGTGGAGGACAGCCAGGCCATGCGTGAGTCCAGTACACCCTAGGAGTAGGTGAACTTCATCAACAATGCCAGGCGCAACGATCCTTACAGTAA